TTTTGGGGGTCGCGAGTCTCTGCCACTGCCCTTTTGGGGGTCGCGAATCTCTGGCACTGCCCTTTTGGGGGTCGCGAGTCTCTGCCACTGCCCTTTTGGGGGTCGCGAATCTCTGGCACTGCCCTTTTGGGGGTCGCGAGTCGCTGGCACTGCCCTTTTGGGGGTCGCGAGTCGCTGGCACTGCCCTTTTGGGGGTCGCGATTCTCTAGCACTGCCCTTTTGGGGGTCGCGAGTCTCTGCCACTGCCCTTTTGGGGGTCGCGAGTCTCTGGCACTGCCCTTTTTAGAGAGACATCAGCACCCTACACGTTCACTGGGGAGCCTCCATGACGGACCTTTTGCAGGAAAGCACTGCTATAGGTCGGCCTGATTGTTGGTAAGGATCAGCAGGCAGAATTAACCACAATACTTTGATAGTCTGATAGCAAAGCTGATATTACAATTCCCATATGAGTTTTGTAATATATATATATAGCTTTTATAAATAAAAGATTCATTCTTTTCTTGGATTAATCTGTAATTACATAATAAAGTCATCTGTGAAAGAGTCATTTTAATGAATAACAATATAATAATTTATATGTCTACCTTATTTAAATACTTGATCATTTTATTTATATTGCAGGCATTGTCATTGGCAGGACATGCAGACTTCATTTTATATTATGGATTGTGTCTTTAAAAAAAAAAAATACAATACCACATTATATGAAAAAGAGAAGAAATTGGGCCACGACAGGTATTTCTGTTGAACAGAAGTGCGTCGAGAGAAGAAGTTTGTACTTGAGAAATAAGCCATTATTATGGAGAACCCAAATTCTGAATGTAAGAGATTCATTGTTACATAATTTAAATTCTGCAAAGGTGCAGCCCTCATACATAACACATACATAAGGTCATAGTGTCCCAGAGGCTGTCCACACTTTACCTTGTTCCTGTGTCTCTCTGGGCTGTTCTCTGCTGAGGGCTCTGTGGAGCTGCCAGAAGGACATCAGTTAGAGAGTAAAATGGTCTTGGGTCAGTGGCAAGAAAGAAAGGGTGACTGAAGGGGGATGAGGAACAAGGCCCCCCGGTGGAGGGAGATGGAACTGCAGCTGATTCTTATGCCATACACTACACTTCAGTATTATTTCAAAATAACATGGTAAAAAAAATCATACTAAAGATACATCCATCCATCCATCCATTTTCTGTAATTGCTTGTCCTATTCAGGGTCACAGGGGGTCCGGAGCCTATTCTGGAGGCTACAGATGCAAGGCAGGGAACAAACCCAGGGTGGGGCACCAACCCATCGCAGGGTGCTCTAACACACCGTTAACTCACACATGCACACTTATGGGCAATTTGGTAACTCCCATTAACTTCAGCATGTTTTTGGCCTGTGGTGGGGAAACTGGAGAGGAAACCCCACGATGACACGGGGAGAACATGCAAACATACATGGTGCAACGGTGGAAACTCAAACCCAGGTCCCAGACAAGGTTATAATAGTTTTGGATTTTTCATTATAGTTTAGTTTTATTTAGTTTTGACCTTTTTCCCTCTAATTTAGTTAGTTTTAATTAGTTTTTAGAGCAGGTTTGCTAGTTTTAGTTAGTTTTAATTTTTTCTAAATGCTTAGTTTTAGTTTAGTTTTTATTAGTTTTAGTATTAGTTTTCATTTTTTCATACTTTGGGTTATTTGTCAGGTGCAGGATTCAAAAAGATCAGTAAGTATTGTGTAATAAAACTCAACAAAGGAAACCATTTCAAAAAGTGTATTCAGTTACATTTGAACAACCAACCATCCACAACAACCAACACTCTACAAGATAGCAGCTTATGTGCAAAATGTGTGTGATACTGCTTCTGATGTTGGATACAGGTAGTGTGCCTGGTACGAATCAAAATAGCCAATAGACTAAAGACACACATGAACATAAGAATATAAACCCATTCACGAGGCACACGTCACATTTCTTGACAGCCAGGAGTCTCAGGGAGCTCAATCTGAGAAAAACATTAACAAACTCAAGAACCATTGCACAACAGGATTGTCTCAGCATGGAAACCCAGACTTCCCTTTCTCCGGCCACTTACTCCAGCTCCACTGGGGAAATCCCGAGGCGTTCCCAGCCCAACCGAGACATACTGTATAGTCTCTCCATCGTGTCCTGGGTCTTCCCCGGGGGCTTGATGCTGATGTGCTTTGCTTTTCTATGTTAACCATACGTCCAATATTGTAAACAAAAAGGAAATGAAGTCTTGTGGTGTTCCTGCGTATTTACTAACCAGCAGCTGTTTGGTCGTCGGTGAAAGCAATTCATTATGGTTGTCCCCTCCTTCCCGGTGCTACCTGGCCGGGATGTTGCTTCTCTTTCGGGGGAGCTAATCAGAGAGGCTACTTGGTCAAGGTACTCGCGATTAGCCGTCTTATGCGAGCTTCTCAAGTGGACTTTCAGATTTTGTCACCTGTTTCTACAATGCACCTGCTCTTAACTGTCTCGCTGTCATAGTCAAAGAAATTCCAGATAGGACTCTGCCGCCTTCTCCCAACTTTTGTCGTCGCTATTTTTCCAGGTAACGCGGTGAGCAAAAGCCGACTGTAAACAAGAAGTGACGGACAGAGAGGTGCCGTACGGTGCTGCCAGCTCACGTAAAACTGCTAGCGAAATAAATCGACTTATAAATAAATTGACAAAGACGAAAACGAAGGACATTTCATCTATAATTTCCGTACGTTTTAGTTAGTTTTGTCAACGCACAATACAGTTATAGTTAGTTATCGTTTTTTCTTTTAATTGTCGTTTTTATTTATTTCAGTTAACGAAAATGTTTTTTCAATTCTAGTTTTCGTTATTTCATTCGTTTTCGTTGACGATAATAACCTTGGTCCCAGAAGAGTGAGGTGACCACTGCATCACTGTGCAGCCCCCATATTAAAGATGATTTAAGGAATTATGTCATTATTGAATCAGCCAATATGGTGACACATCCTCTTTTTGGGCCCCTGTCTAGGCATCTGGGCAGTTTTTCAAAAATTAGCGGTTTGACAGGGTTTAGTGCTGCAAGTTACAATGGAATACCAATCGAAGGAAAAGGCACCAATTTTCTATATACGGCAGCCACTCTGTATCATTACACAGTGTTTGCAAAGCTTGTGCACATGTTTACTTTAAAAATTGAACAATATATGCATCCCTACATGTCACGCTGCTCATAAGTGATGTCAACTTCCGGAAACCATTGGCACTCTTCTGTTTTTTTTTTTTTTTTGTGTGAATTAGTGAATTGCATCATTTGCTTGAGGTTTAACAAACTTTAGCTTAGCGTTTTGTAACTTTTGTTGAAAAAGTTACAAACTTGTATATTGTATATTGTGTCAATTGTGTGTAGATTATAAAACGAGAGTTAACCGTAAGACTACAGGGAACACTCATTAGTATTAGTAAGAGAAGCACTACCTGATAATACCTGATTGGCTGCCAAACATGACAACTCATTAATATTCATGAGGGACATGCTACCTGATTGATTAATAAACATGAAAACTCATTAAAATTTTGAAACCCAGACACATCCCCTTTTTCCTCCCACCAAATATGGTAGCCCTACTCAATGGCTCTCTAGGGTAATCGGAGTGGGATGTAGCTTAGTCCATATTGGGGTGTTGAGCGCCCTGCCAGCAGAGATACTCGGCTCACTGACAGCTGTGTGGCTGTACTGGTCTGGCTAGTGGGGCCAAGGTCAGTCTCCTGTATACTATAAGCGAAAGAGTTCTGATTGGATATATATAAGGCTGCCATACACAGCAGTGTACCTACTCAGTAAAATACCATAATGAATTAAATGTCCTGAACACCACACACCACACTGAAGCATTCACTCAAATATGTCTGACTATACACACACACACACACACACACACACATGTTGGGGATACCTATCCTTATGGTCACTGGCGTGCACAGATAGAGACGAGGTGGTGCTGAAGCACTTGCCCTTTTGCCCTCAGTCCAAAAAAGTGCCCTTTTGAAAGACGTGATTTTTTTTTTTTTTTAAAGCTGCGCGATTTAAAAAGGTGTGAAAATAATGGC